GCTGTTTGAAACTCTTCAGTCACTTTTCTGGTCTGTGTTCGGGCTGTTGAATCTGTATGTTACCAATGTGAAGGCTCGTCATGAGTTCACCGAGTTTGTAGGGGCCACCATGTTCGGCACATACAACGTCATCTCACTGGTGGTGCTACTGAACATGCTCATCGCTATGATGAACAACTCTTACCAGCTCATCGCTGTGAGTGCCAGCAAATACTAATGATTATTGTTCATAATGCAAGGGTTTATAGATCAATTGTTTGGGATTGAAAGTAAGTATGGAAAGTAAGTGAAAGTAAAGAGATTTAGAGCACTTGTAGAGATATTGTAATATGTGAAGTCAGATTTAATAAATGCCCATTTTAATTATTAATTATTTTTCACACTTTTCAGCGCAAAAAAACTTGTATTGTATTTATTAACTACATGCAATGGAGTTTAACCAGATGCTAAATGTCATAAAATAGCACTGTGACATATTTGATAGGTTGCATCTTATTCATAAAACTAACATATATTTGTATGGTGCAATTAAAGGAATAGTTTTAAACTAGATTTGCTCAAGGACACTCTTATTTGTCATTGACCCAGATGGTAATAGCACAATATTAAAGGAATAGTTTAATTAAAATTATGTCATCATTTACTCACCCTTGTTGTTTCAACCATGTATGAATTTCTTTCTTCTGCTGAACACAAAAGAAGATATTTTAAAGAATGTTGGTTACCAGACAGTTGATGGACCCCATTGACTTCCATAGTAGGAAATAAAATACTATGGAAGTCAATGTGGTCCATCAACTGTTTGGTTACCAACAATCTTCAAAATATCTTATTTTGTGTTCAGCAGAAGATAGAAATTCATACAGGTTTAAAACAACTTGAGGGTGAGTAAATGATGACAGAATTTTCCTTTTTAAGTGAACTATTCCTTTAATATTGTGCTATTACCATCTGGGTCAATGACAAATAAGAGTATCCTTGAGCAAATCTAGTTTAAAACAGTTTAAATGTGCCATAAGCTCTTAGTATTTTTAGTATGTAGTATTCTTTGCATCCACGTAGTTTCATAATTTTTTAAAAACTTTGAGAATAGAATAGAATAGAATATAATAGAATAGAATAGAATAGAATAGAATAGAAAAAAGCCTTTATTGTTATTATACTCATGTACAACAAAAGTGCTTCCCTTGGTGCCGGAAAAGTTATACAACAAACCAAAACTATATTACATACGACACACATATTAAACATATAGTACAAAAGTAAACAATTATGTAATCAAATATTAAAAAAATTTGCACTAATAATAAATATATTGAACTAAACATGTTCATTGCAAAGTTTATTGCACAACACTTTATTTTTAGGTTACACATTACATAATAATAGCAGTGAATTATGCATAATTACTAGTAACAGGCCCTAACCCTAACCTTAACTGTAAGTACATGTAGTTAATTAATATTACTCAGTACTTATTTGTGTAATTACTCTGTAAAAAAGACACCTAAAAATAAAGTGTAACCAAAACGTTTATAACATTTAAAAAAAATTCCATTGCCAAAAAAACCTTTAAAATATATTTTTCAAGGTAGAAATTGTGTTTTATAAATATCATGAATTATTATTTAAAAAAGCACGTTTTGGGAAAGTTGCACCACTTGACATTTTTAATCCAGTACAACTATCTTGTCATAAAAGGTCAAATTATCTGATATTAAGAGACTTATTATTGACCTTTACACAATCATTTCCCATTTTGTTTCTGCTTGTGAATTCCCTATATATGTGTTTTCACACATTTAATGAATATTAAATCCATTAGTATCTTTAGGATATTAAGAGACCATCATATTTTAGCAGTTTTGTGACAGTCAGATGGGCTCATGTTTATGTATTTTTCAGCATGTTAGTTATGTGCTTATATAAGCTACATTTAGAGCCATTTTCACCACCTGCGTATGTCTCATAATGGGAACTGTTATTCAAGTAAACACAATTCTGAGTAAACGTGCATCATCCAATCACAACAAAAGCCAGTCTGGGACACTATCCCAACTGGCACTGTCAGCACTGTCCTCCATCCAACTGGCTGTCTGTTGTTCTGCTGTAGGATCACGCAGACATTGAGTGGAAGTTTGCTCGTACCAAGCTGTGGATGAGCTACTTTGATGAGGGAGGGACGTTACCGCCACCCTTCAACATCATACCTAGTCCAAAGTCTGTGTGGTACCTGTGTGTGTGGCTGCACTGCCGTCTGTGTGGACATGGAGAATCAAGGCACGAGGACGAGTGTAAACATGGAAAACTCAAAGAGTTCACGGTATGCATTATGCGCTTTCATTCTGAATGCAGCGTGGGTGGTAAATTATAGCCTTCACTCAGTAAATGTGACGCATCCCTTGACTAAAGAAAACAAAAACAGCATAATTGCCATTATAAACAGCGATTTTTGAAGAACCACTAAGTAGTGCTAAAGACAAGCATTGCTATCATTCATTATCGCTCATGCTTTGTTAACTCTTAACCCTGAGGATTACATTTTGTTTGTGCTGTGGAAATTAATTTTACCTCAGATCATGTGGTTTATTGAGGAAAGTTCTGCTATTCATTTTCTAAGCAATCAGACTCATTATTTTAGCCTGGTGGATGGTGGAAAAAAGGACTGTCCAGCTAGAAATTGTTTTGTTCTAATGATGTTTTTAGTGACATGGGGCATGCTTCATGCTGCAGTGGATTCTGGGATCCATGATGAGTTTTGTATGATGCATCCAGAATGCACTGCAGCATAAAGCATGTCACCGTTGTTGAGATTCATTCACTGATTCATGATGTCTAAGTGAGTCTAATAGACACATGAGTTCAAGATGTTTAGTGTACAATGTGTTTTCAAAAGACTTTAGATTATCTGTTTAAAACACTGCTGAATCTCATGCTGTCGAAAGACAGGGCTACAGTTATCAAAAATATAAAATGAATTACACATCACCCATATGATCAAAGTTTAGACACCGAATGAGATCAGTGAATCAGGCCACTTGATAATTATGTCACCATCAATAGCTAGCCAAACCACCTGATCACATTTTCTCTTGGCTTTTTCGTCATAACGAATGTGTCTTATAAACACACAGTTACAGCAGCCAGAGAAAAACGAACGTTAAAAAGTCAAGGGTCAAGAGCCCAACTAAAGCAAACACTAATCATCATAATAGTGACCTAACCCTCAACATCTAAATCTCTGTTAATTCTCAATAAGGACATAGATGCATGTGTCACGTCTTTTTTTGTGGTTTTGTTTCAAGTTTATGTTTTCATGTCTTGTATTTTGTAGTTTTCATAATCATGGTTTCTATTTGTCATGTGATTTTCCCTTTTCTTTATGTGATCTTGCCATGTGCTTCCCTTGTTTATGTGTCATGTTCTGATTGGTTGTTTTGGTCATGTGGTTCTCTGTTCTGTTTGGTCATTGGTTCCTTGGTCATTGTTTTCAAGTGTGTAGCCCTCATGTTATCATTGTCTTTTGTCTAGATTTGTTTGTGTTAACTCGCCTAGAGTGGACTCTGTTACAGTATAACAGAAATAAAGTCAAACTAGTTAGTAATAAGTAAAGCTCGTCATGCTGTTTGTGGAGTTTTAGGAAAATGGACTGGGAATGAAAATGTTCTTCCACTGAAAACATTAAATTACCTAGCTATTACATATTTCAAATAATGAATATAATCTGACAATAACAGGTTTATCATAAATAGTGCTTCTTTTGTGCAAATCATTCAAACTAGAGTAGCCTATACAAACAGGCCACACTAGCAAAAAGGTTCATTGTCTATTCTCAATTCATAGTTATTACGTTACGTCACAATTCCTTTTGAAATGCCTGGATTTCGCCTTTGAAATTTCACTAAACAATGGTAAATGTGAGCACTCTTTAAGGTGGGACTTCCTACAGACGCCATATTGAGTGTTGCGAAGCTTGTGTCAAAAATACAAGTGGTGAAGTGTAAGACAGAACTACAGCTGCCTTAGGGGCAATTCACACAGAACGCATTTTTCTTTTCCAATGCGCTACTTTTCCATATTTTTTCTATGTAAACACGCTAGGCGGACGTGTATAACCATTGCGCTCGCGTCTTGTGTCTTTTGTAGCGCCTAGTGCATGTCACGGCTTTCTAAAAACGCGGTGCTCAAGTTTGAGCAGTTTTACAGTGATTAATAGGATTCAATGATGGACAAATTTTAAAAATGAACTCGGCCCTGTGAAGTACATCAATTATGAAATGAGTTAAATTCATCTATAAGGCGGTTCTGTAGAAAACAGTGATGTCAAAGTCCAGATCAGTTCAGTTCTAATCCAATAGTGTCAATGCAGTCGAATCAATAATATTGTTGAATATGAAGTGTCCCAAACTAAGCAAATTTGAAGTGGCAAGGAACTCAAACTATATTTTGACTCAGATCAATATTTCGTGTCTAATTATTTATTTATGTGGCAAGTAGCCGTGTCATAAGCGGGATAATGTACATCCATTGTACATCCGCTTCGCGTCGGGATCCTGATCACCCTGTCCGGGTTTATTCTCACATAACAACCGGCTGGACGTACATTATCCCTTACATAAATCCTTAAGATGGTTTCAAGGATATCCTGCCATTAAATAAGGTTTGGATTTAACCTACTAGGGGTTGTCTATTTGATGTCCAGCCTCAAGTTGCCCTATGCCGATTTTGGTTGCTAGGCAACCTCGCTTCAACCTAAATATCAATCCCCCTGACTTCTTTCGATCAATTGAACTTCTCTCCTCTGTGAGGTGGGCTCTACTGTTTCTGCAAACTCACTCGCCCACGTTCTCCCACACACAGCACATGGAGCGAACAGTTTTGGGTTTAGGAATCATCATGTAAGGCTGCTATCATTTATTTTTTCATTTTTAGCTAGCATTTCAGTGAAGAATATGTGTGTAAAATGCTTTTAGAAGACTTGAAGGAATAGTTAAAAACTCCTAATGTTTCTTTCTTCTGTGGAATACAATAGGAGAAAATGTGCTGGTATAGATCTTATGTAGCCCCGCCCCTTTTCAGCGCTGCACTCGTTGCGTTCTGTCTTCCGGTTTGTATTTCCACAGCATGTGACGGTAAGATCTTACGGATTTATGAATGAACCTCTCGTTTTAAAATCTTCCCGGTCTACTGACATTTATGACATCCACTTCAAACTTTACAATGCGCATGATAACTTTCATTAACTACAATAAGTGAATCCACTTCACCAGCTCATTACTCTTCGACAGCGATGCCATAGAAATATACGGAGCTGCCGCAGAAACGGAAGTTCAAAGACAAGATTCTAAAGACGGCTGCAGGCTTGTTTCTCTGACGCATAAAGTCTATACAGTTATAATGAACTGGAGCTGTCAAACTAAAGTTAACACCACATTTTTGTATTGTTTCAGACTTTGAATAAAGATGCATAGACCACTTTTTATGATTTTTGAATCCTTTTTGAAGTCAAAGCTCTTGTCCAATTTAATTGCCATTGCATTGAAATGACTTCAAAACTTAATTTTTTTGTTCTATGGATGGAAGTCATGCAGTTTTGGAACAGGTGAACAAATGACCACAATTTTCAGTCACACTTTAGATTATGGTCCAATTCTCACTATTAACTAATTGTTAACTATGACTTTTGCCTCAATAAACTCCTAATTGCTGTTTATTAATAGTTAGTGAGGTGGTTGTTAAATTTAGGTTTTGGGAAGGATTAAGGGATGTAGAATATGGTCATGCAGAATAAGACATTAATATGTGCTTTATAAGTTCTAATAAACAGCCAAAATCCAACAATAACTAGTTAATAGTCAGAATTGGACCCTAAACTAAAGAGTTACCACTATTTTCATTTTAGGGACTATTCGAAACTATTCAAGATTAATTGTCATGAAGTAAAACCATGAAAAACATGTCTTGTAACAAAATGAATGTTATCTGAAATAAAATAAAACGAGAAAAATATATTATCAAAGACCATTTTTTAAATAAAAATCACTAAAACTTTAAAGTCAAAGTGAATCTAATTGAACATATTAACAAAAACTATAATAGTATGTCAATTTATATCAAAACTGGAATTATTTTATGATTGTTCAGACTATTCACCTTTGCATCTGTATAATGCCACACATTTATTGTTGAAATCTGTTTTTGCTCTATATGTTTTAGGAAAGGCATGCCGATAACCTCATCCAGAACCAGCACTACCAGGTAATGACTGTCTCCATCACATTTTGGCATCCATGTCACAAATCCATTTTTCAGCATGCTGTGAGATTCAACCCATGCTGTTAATATGTTAACAAATGCCAACAATTTATTTAAATGAGAAAACAAACGTTAGCCGATGGGCATCATGCATATTGATGACTTATTAGAGCTTTGCAAGCCATATAATTTGCATGCTTTTCATAAATAATAGGTCTAGGTGCTTGCAAAGAAACAAATCGTGAGATTTTAAAAGGTGCTGATCATGCTTAAAATATATCTTGATAGTATGTAGAAATACTGTTAATTGTAATTTGACAATATTCGGTACTTGCTCTAATTGCATTACATCCTGTCCTGCTTCTTATTTAATAACCACTGGATAAACATTGCTAATGTATTAATTCATAGCCAGACAGACTCCAGCAACCTCTGGTGCAGGTCGCGACAGTGTAATGAACATCCCTATTGAAAGAGTGAGTGTGTGAAAAGTGTGTGGTCAAGTTCCAAAATGGACAAAAACACCATAAAAGAACCCTAAAAATATTGATGTGCCATTATGAATTCACAAGACCGGGAATGTAGTGTAAGTCTACTTTTACAGTAAGTCTGGAGCCGTTTAGTCTACTTTTGTGATGCATTTATTTTTTTATTTGCTATTTTTGAGCTTGACACCTGTGTTGTTAAATAGCAAGAGCTGTGTGATGATTGTTCAAAATCTTTTATTTTATATTCTGTGGAGAAATGAAAGCATACAGACTTGGAACAACATGAGGATGAATAAATAATGATAGAGTTGTCATTTTGGGGTGAACTATTCCTTTAAGCAGTGTATTTTGTGAGTGTAAGGTTGTATATAATTGCTACAGACTAATGTTACTCCCAACAGTCAAGAGCTGCAGTAGCAGATATTGCAATAGCTGTTATTTTTGTTATTGTGCTTAAGCTTGTTTTGGCTCACTCTTTATTGGATATGCAAATCAATGCTAATGAATGCACGTCCAGATTTTCACCTCCAGCTAATACATGAATACGCCCAAAACTGATTTTCACCCATTATTAAACTAGGATCTCAAAATATGCGCATGCCAATCACATCGAAAGTCCATCACCTTATCTCACTGTGATGGTTCATGATGCAGTGGTAATGTACATGCCACATCCATTACTGCAATGCTTTTCCTTCATTCATCCTGCATTGTTTTAGTATTTTTTTTGTTATGGTTTCTGTATTCATATAATTTATTTGGCAATAAGACTCAGATACGGTTTATTTCTCTTTTAGTTTTGTTTTGTTGTCCTCTTTTACAGGTCTAAACATTTGATTTGATTATTTGGATTTTTGTTTTCTTTTTGATTTTTTTTATGGCCCTCATTCCTTGCTTGGTCCCTCACACTCATCCAGTCCGAGATTATATCATCCCCTCATTTGGGGATGCAGAAAGTCATTTTGAAGAGGAAAACATGGTTGTTTGTAGATCAGAAGGTAACATATCAAGAGAAATGTGTGTGTCATTCATCCTGTTTGTGGCTGTTTTCAGGGGGTGATCAGAAACTTGGTAAAGCGATACGTTGCAGCCATGATCCGCAGCGCCAAAACAGACGAAGGGCTGACAGAGGAGAACTTCAAGGTGTGAGGATTTTTTTTGTCATCTTATTCCCTTTACAGACACTTTTATCATTTTATAGAGGCCATTGTGATCTCATTTGTTTTTGTGTACATTTGGATAGACACTGAAACATACAATATCAACACAGGCTACTGGCAGCATCATAAAAGTAAACCCTTTTATGCATGGGCAATAATAATGAGATCACTTTGCCGGGTTGTTAGTAAAGTAAAGTAGACATTATTATAAAAGAGCCTGGTTTCACATACAGGGCTTAGATTAAGCCAGGATTTGGCCAGTTTACAGCGCAATACAACTTTTATAAATATAGAATTAAGTTGATGTGCGATCACAATGTATGTTCAAACATGGCTCATCCAAACCTTTTAGAACATCTATTTAGCTTGATATGAATTTCATAGTCTGAATAATGATTTCCTTTCATTTCCTTATGTAGCTTTCACTTTAAATGCGAAGTGTAATCATAACCAGGCATGGTATGACAATAAGAACGATATGTCCAAAATCTCCTCTTGTATATTAAACCTCAAACACTTGGGAAGAGACTGAAAATGGAAGGTAACAAACTCCAGACATGGCATATCCCTAAACTCCACAAGAAAAACCATAAGGACTTAAGCATGAGAAGTTATGAAGATAAATCTCGTAACGTTGGAATATTTCCTGTAATTAGGTGATGTGGTTAAGCTCTGGTAATTGAATTCTGTTTCTCTGCATTCAGGAACTGAAGCAGGACATCTCCAGTTTCCGCTACGAGGTTCTAGACCTGCTGGGCAACCGTAAACCCCCGCGCCGCACATACTCTTCCAGTAGTGATACCACTCAGCAGGACGAAACAGCTGAGCCTGAGGAAGAAGAGGATGAGGAGGGAGACGGGCTCGGAGGACACCGATGTGGGGATGAGGGAGAGTCAACCAGATCCAAAGCATCTACGTCCTTTTCCCAATGTTACAGGAGTAACCGAGAGTCCCAATTCAGCGTATCGGCCCTGTTTAGGTCCATGTCGGGACCGGCCAGGGAAAGACTGGAAAGCAACGGCTTGAGGAAGAACATATCCCACCCCTCTGCATTTGTGCGGACCTTTTCACGCCCCAAGAAAAACTCTTTGCAGCGTTTGGGAATGCTGATCTCGCGCATGAATGGACACGTCCCGGATCCGCATGCGGAGACCCCGGGAGTTCAGCCGTCTGCGTACAGCGTCTCAGACAGCGTACCGCAAACATCTTGGCACGACCCTCAGACGCTGTCGAAGGTAACACAGAGCGAGATGCACCTGCACACGCTGGGATTGGGACCCTCTGAGACGGAACATAACCCAATGCAGGCCACATCTCGACGGGCAAACGGCAGAGAGAGTCTCCTCCTCCAGCCGCCCCCGCTGCACTGTGCTTCCTCCAGCGCACAGCTCTTGGCCTCCAGTGATGACCTGTGCCATGGCTGGATGGGACCCTGTGACAGTTTAGGCTCCTCCAGCTGGGAACAAGAGGAGTCTGTTACGACACAGCTGTAGTGGCAGTAGCGAAGTCAGCTTACTATTACCTTTTCACAGCTTAAGGCCATTGGGTTCAAAAGGTTTGACAATAGTGAAAGGCCTTTCACACATTGGATCTTATTCACTCAACTCGAACAAAACAAAGTGTGTACAAACGTTCATAAAACCTCAATGCGAGAGGCAATGCGACCATTTACATAATGTGTATTTATGCGTTCCAAATTATTTGAAAAATGTGTTCCACTTGTGTTTATTGATTGAGGCCCATAGTCTTTAAACACTGGGAATTTATATTCAAAGGTGAAGCTTGTAATTTCTGAACAAAAAATGAACGATTCCTATAATAATAGATAGCCCTGCCCCCAAACTACCATAACTTTCAAAACAAAATCTGCATCTGAAATCACATACTTCCCTACTGTATAGTAGGCGAAAAGAGTAGTATGTCCAAATTCACAGTATCTATAATCAAATAGTAGTTGAAAAGTACAGTAGTCAACATTTGAAGTGGATCAAAACCTTTCATCAAAGTTATACATGAATTTTGAACAATACCCATTCTTGTCTTTGTTGAACTTTTTTAATCCACTTCTCTGCGTCACTTTTTAACGCACAGGGATCAAGACGCATAATTCTTTGCATTTGTAAAAGTAGACGTGATTTTATAAATATTTATAGACTACTTTTAACTTTGGAGCAACTAACCCCACTTCTACCCTAAACCTACCCAGCTCTAAACAATATAAAACACGTAACAAGGAAATAGAAGTACAGTCAGAGGTATTAATGGCAAAAAAATGACCAAAAACAGTATCCAAGTATTAACTCATGTTGCATTCCAAGTCTTCTGAAGCCATACGATATCTTTATGTGAAGTGAACAGTGGATCTTAATGCTTTAATCGCTGAAATGATCCCGCCGCTCCGTGAAAGCATGCAGTCATATCTCATTCAAAAGATACACCCGACTCTTTAGCATGACGCAATTGGTCACGAGACAAACGAGAGCCAATGCCATTTTACAATCAAAGCTGACGTAACGTTTCTTCGGTCGGCAATTTTTGAATTTGTGCATGATCGGCTGATGGAGACGGTGATCGATTTTGGGTCTTTTCTTCACACAAATCAATCCTTTGCCCTTAGAACACTTGGGATATTTGTACTTTTTCAATAAATTGTCCCTGTAGTCGTATCTGCCTGTTATATCCTGTGTTTTATATTACAGAATACACAAATGGGTAGGTTTAGGGGTGGGGTTGGGTTACGCATTCAAACTTATCTATAAAATTATATATACAGGCTAAAAAATTAGCATATTGTGATAAAGTTCATTATTTTCCATAATGTAATGATAAAAATTAAACTTTCATATATTTTAGATTCATTGCACACCAACTGAAATATTTCAGGTCTTTTATTGTTTTAATACTGATGATTTTGGCATACAGGTCATGAAAACCCAAAATTCCTATCTCAAAAAATTAGCATATCATGAAAAGGGTCTCTAAATGAGCTATTAACCTAATCATCTGAATCAACTAATTAACTCTAAACACCTGCAAAAGATTTCTGAGGCTTTTAAAAACTCCCAGCCTGTTTCATACTCAAAACCGCAATCATGGGTAAGACTGCCGACCTGACTGCTGTCCAGAAGGCCATCATTGACACCCTCAAGCAAGAGGGTAAGACACAGAAAGAAATTTCTGAACAAATAGGCTGTTCCCAGAGTGCTGTATCAAGGCACCTCAGTGGGAAGTCTGTGGGAAGGAAAAAGTGGCGCAAAAAAACGCTGCACAACGAGAAGAGGTGACCAGACCCTGAGGAAGATTGTGGAGAAGGACCGATTCCAGACCTTGGGGGACCTGCGGAAGCAGTGGACTGAGTCTGGAGTAGAAACATCCAGAGCCACCATGCACAGGCGTGTGCAGGAAATGGGCTACAGGTGCCGCATTCCCCAGGTCAAGCCACTTTTGAACCAGAAACAGAGGCAGAAGCGCCTGACCTGGGCTACAGAGAAGCAGCACTGGACTGTTGCTCAGTGGATGACAGCAAATTTTGCATGTTTTGCATGTCTGGAGGAAGACTGGGGAGAAGGAAATGCCAAAATGCCTGAAGTCCAGTGTCAAGTACCCACAGTCAGTGATGGTGCCATGTCAGCTGCTGGTGTTGGTGCACTGTGTTTTATCAAGGGCAGGGTCAATGCAGCTAGCTATCAGGAGATTTTGGAGCACTTCATGCTTCCATCTGCTGAAAAGCTTTATGGAGATGAAGATTTCATTTTTCAGCATGACCTGGCACCTGCTCACAGTGCCAAAACCACTGGTAAATGGTTTACTGACCATGGTATTACTGTGCTCAATTGGCCTGCCAGCTCTCCTGACCTGAACCCCATAGAGAATCTGTGGGATATTGTGAAGAGAAAGTTGAGACGCAAGACCCAACACTCTGGATGAGCTTAAGGCCGCTATCGAAGCATCCTGGGCCTCCATAACACCTCAGAAGTGCCACAGGCTGATTGCCTCCATGCCACGCCGCATTGAAGCAGTCATTTCTGCAAAAGGATTCCCGACCAAGTATTGAGTGCATAACTGAACATAATTATTTGAGGGTTGACTTTTTTTTTGTATTAAAAACACTTCTTTTATTGGTCGGATGAAATATGCTAATTTTTTTGTGACAGGAATTTTGGGTTTTCATGAGCTGTATGCCAAAATCATCAGTATTAAACCAATAAAAGACCTGACATATTTCAGTTGGTGTGCAATGAATCTAAAATATATGCAAGTTTAATTTTTATCATTACATTATGGAAAATAATGAACTTTATCACAATATGCTAATTTTTTGAGAAGGACCTGTATATAAATGTAAATAAAATTATGCTGGTTGATTAAATTGAGAATCACACTCCAACATGTCATAATGGCAAAATTATAACCCAATATATAAGTTCATCATGACGATAACATTCCCATGCCCAACGCGCCCGTGTAAGATGCTAAAGGTTTCTCATTGAAAGTAATGGGGTACTCTGTGCTAAAGGGGTAGCTACCCTGCGTCAATGTGTGACGAGTTGGGAGTGAGAATGTGTTGGATGAACACTTTACTAACCCATGGCGCCACAGGAGAGGATTTGTGAAGCAACACAACTAACACTGGTAGATCCCATGACAATGACAACATGATGGATCTAACCGCAGAACCTGATTCCACCAAGTGCAACATGTTTCTGGATCAACATCTTTGTTGATTCTGGAACAGCATTTTAATCAACCAATCAGATTTGAGGTACAAGTTATACAGTTTATGTCAAGTTTAGGGTTACAACCAGGGTTAGGTGCTTCTACATCAGTGTTATTCCCCCGTCATTTCCCTTTGATGTTAGGGATAACTTATGGGTAGGGTTAGGTTTAGCGGTAGGGATATGGTTAGGGTTACATTTTTGGACAGGAATGTTGTTCCAGGATCAACAAAACATGTTAATGCATCTAACTCAGCAAAATCAGGACGTGCGTCTTACATGCATGCTAAACAATTCATACTATACAGAACTTACTTTTTTTAATGATCACAAAGTAATTATTTAAAGCTGCAGTCCGTAACTTTTTGTGGGTTAAAAATTATCCAAAATAAATCTGAGCAAGTACATACCCAGCCAGTGTTCAAAACTCTCTGCTTGCCTTAGCTCGATTCAAAGCGGTAAGCTTGTAATAATGTTTTTAATTCCAGTGGTACTTGTGGATTTCCGCGGGAAATTCGAGCATGTCTTTGCGTCATTACGTCACATCTGTACACATAAAGGAGGAGTCTCGGCTAGTAGGCTATATTGCGTGTGAGGATGTTGGAGGTGGAGATTTATAGCCTTTTCTCACAGCACTTGATATAATTAAACTTATCAATTTGATGGCGGATCCAGAAAGGTTCAAACGACGATCACCAGTGACAATTCATCCGCGCTGTGCCGTGCCGAGGCACAACCCACATAAAGTTGATAATTCCGCGAATAACTGCAATTGCAGATTTCGAACAGAGATGGCGACAAAGAGGAAAAACTACAGACTGCAGCTTTAAAAAGTACCAACTCTGAGAGTAAGCGATTTCGGGCACGGCCCTGTTCTATATAGTATGCATGCGTGTAGTATAAATACAATTAGTACATACTACAACCGGCATGTTGGCATTGTCATGTGATCTATGACATCAGTTGTGTGGCTTCCTCACCTTTACGGATCCTCTCCCATAGCCACATTGAATAGTAAAGTGTCTATCTATGCACACTTCAAAACCTCTGCAGAAGTAGCAAGTCATCCCGATATTAGTTTTTTTATGAATACTGCAAATTTGCATGTATAACTAATTTGATGTACTACCTCTCGCATACTATTAGCAGGGAAATAGGCATATTTCGATGCAGGAACTGCATTATACTTTTCGGGGAAATCTACTTGAATGTCTTCAGCTGTCTTTTCACTGCACACAACATTTGAATACAACTCACGTAGCAATTAACTTTGTGGATCTCCGCAAGCTTTTACCTTAACTGTGGTGGAACGAATAATCGAATATAAATAGTAAAAGCTATGCATTTACTGTAGGTAAATGACCACCTGTACTTTTGGATAAAACATATGGACACAACCTAAATAAAGTATAAATATTAAATTTATGATATTTCCTTCTATATCGATAACCGTACATTATCACAAACAATTGACAGTAAACAAAAAAGTGTTGTTTGATGCCTATTGGATTGAATTGAATGCATCACATCTGGTTGACGCGCCATCCAAATTGGATTAGAAAATTACACATAAGCAGTTTATTGGCTCACTTTGCAACCTCTGTGTGACTCTCCATAGGAAATGAATGACTTCTGGTCTGTTGTATGCAGTGCAAAAGTGGATTGACTTAGTTGACCAGGACAGGAGAAAGTATTCGACCATCTATGTTGTCACCTCCTGTGGTGTCAGAATGTGATGATGATCAGAAATGCCAAAGAAAGCAAAAATGTATTTCTGAGCTCTTCGAAATATGCTTAAGGGTGTATCCGAGCAACTTGCACAGAACAGGCAATATTTATTTCAAGTATTTGTTTTGCGGGAGGTGTTCAGATCAAAGACTAGATATACAAAGATGGTTCACTCATAATACTGTGGCTGCATCCGAAATGGCATACTTCCCTACTATATAGTAGGTAAAAAAACAGTATGTGACAAAAGTAGTATATCCGAATTCACAGTACTCATAAAAGACTAGGAGAAAAGTCCCCGGATGACCTACTGAGATTCTGAGGTGTGCATACGATGAACACTTTACTATCCCATGAGGCCACAGGAGAGATTTATGATTGGTATTGAAGCAACGCAACTGACGCTGGTTGCTCACATAATGACAACATGGTGAATGTCGTACATCCAGATTACTTTAATGCTACACACATACTATATAAAACATACTTTTTTAGCTGTCATGAAGTACTTATTCAAAGTATGCGATTTCAGATGCAGGCTATGAATGAGGGAAACTGCAATGTGCAATATGGCGGAAAATTCCCAGCGCCTTAATAAATGAACCAATTAGCAGTTGGTAAAGTCACTCCATCACTTTAGCTGCCGTTAGAAGCTCTGGTTTCCCATAGAAACTGGAGACTCGTACTTGGGACTGCACATGCGCATTGGTTTGACCAACTGGAAATATATGCTTTTTAACGCCATTTGAGCGTAAGAAACATTTATGATGCAGGTCATGTCAGACTTTATTGGTGACTTCAAATATAAAAATTTAATCGTAAGCTTAGCTTTGGAGAATGTTGTTTCCCCATTCAAAGAGACAGTAGCTGTACTTGCATGACTGAAATAGCTGCCGTGAGGCGTTTCAAAGATGGCCGCCGAGTGAAATGACTTGCCTTAAAGGGACTTTGGTTCAGATGCTCCCTTAACAAAAGTAGCAATCTTCTCGTACAAATCCATCTGATGTAAAAACCTTTGTTAATTTTGCAAAGCTTCAAATGAAATGTTTTTAACCTTCACTTCAGATTACAGACCAACCGCGCCGCATGCTCAGCTCTGCTGTGATGTTTTCCAGTGTTAATGCTAGTGCAATATTTTTGAAAACAAGCTTAAACTGCAGACTTGAAGAGCGCGTATTGAAAGTCCTTTTAGGAGCTCAGAAGTGGGTGTCCTGATACATAATGTCACTTATTGACTGACCATGAAGTGACATTTTAGCATCAGAAAATACAGGTAACAGGATGGAGACCTTAAGATATATGCATCTTTGTAATACACTTACATCTACATTTAGCATATAAAGGGCACCAAATGGTTTCAAATGAATCTTAAAATATGCTACAAAAATTATGCATCTATGTGACTGGTAATATATTTCATTTGTTTTTCACAGATGTTTTATAGCAACTGATATTAAATAGGGAGTTGGCTCCTAAAAACCCCAACGCATGATCTAATATTTAGTTTATGTGAAAGTTGATCACTGGGAGCTACTGTAGATTTAGTTGATCTCATGTCAGGTCTTTGTCAGACTCTGAGACCCCGAACCTGTCACAAATAATATATCAGATCCATTCTACACTTTCTCTTGTGGGCTGGTAATCTCTCACTTGTGTTGCTTTATCATGGTATTCATTTCTGCTGTCAGTTAGCAACAGTAAATTCTAAAATTCTTGTTTGTAAGCTTTATTTTCTAACAAATTATTTTTCTATATTCTTTTTCTGACATAAAGGCACCTTTTTGTTACACCATGTAGAACTATGAGATTTTTATACCTTGATTTGCAATAGAGGCATCAGTGGTTTTCTATTTCATTTCTTTTTTGTGTGTGGTCACTAAATAAATCATATCTGGGTTATCATCTGTAATGATTGAAACTGCACTTTTGCTGCTCTGGGAGTCATCTTTAAAGCAGGGTGACCAGACATGCCCATTTTCCAGGGACAGTCCCGGTTCTTGGTGTGCTGACTAAAAACACTTATCAAAAAAAGACAGTTATCAGGTTCAAGGTAGTTTCATGAGCTATTCATGTTAAATTAAGGTACATTTACACGGCAACGATGTACTAAAAAACAGGTGTAAAGAGTACCTGAAAACCATACTGATACCTTACAGCGAAAGACTCCATTACAAGTTACCAACTGTAATACGACTTGAGTAAAAGTCTTACCCCCAGTTTCACAGACAAGGTTTAAGCTAGTCCCAGACTAAAATGCACGTTTGAGCTGCTTTAACTGAAAGCAACTTGCACTGACATCTCAAAATATGGTTGTGTCTCAAGTCAAGATGCACACCAGTAATGTTTTTTTTTTTTTCTAAGGCACGTTTATAAAAGCTACTTCAATGTCCTAATTAATCTAAGGCCTAATCCTGGTTTAATCTAAGCCCTTTCTGTGAAACCTGGCCTTAGATATCTGTTTTTAACAGTATACTGAAGTATTTTACTCAAACTGAATGTAGGCTCAAAGATGCACCAGTTCTCAACACCTGAGAGACATGCCAGTGAAAAACAAGGTGGTGTATTGTGAGGAGAGCAAAATTTATTTTCTAAAATCAAAATTAACACCTCAAAATCAAAACGTCTTTAAACAAGTGTCAGTTAACTCAAGTGCTAAAAAAAAGGGCATTAGTAAACCAATATCCTTCAAAAGATCTCTTCAATATGACAGATAAAAAAAAAAAGAAAAAAAGTCAAAGCCAACCTGCACTGGACGTGCTATGTTGAAAGGTTTAGGTGAGTAAGGGCAAAATGCACAAGATATAGCACCTTCATTGCCCTGTAGATGGCGATATCACTTCTGTTGTAGCAGAAATAAACTGCTGCAGAAAAAGTTAGGTGCCATGCAGTAACAGAATCCCCCATCCCAAATGTATTGGAGTAAAGAGTACATACTTGTTCAAAAATGTAGTCAAATAGAGAGTAAAAGTTACTTATATATTTGATACTCAGTAAAACTACTTAATAGCCAAAAAGATACTGAAGTACAGTAACTAATTACATTTACTCAAATACTTTACCCCACTGCTATAACAGAAGTTTTTCCTTTGCGTTTTTCAAAATGTTAATTTTAACAAAAAAAAATCATATAAAATGCTCATTTATTATTTAGTACTGAAGAGGATTAAGCATGACTATAACACACAACCATTTTAAAGTTTGGGGTCAGTAAGTTTTTTTTTTTTAAAGTCTCTCATGCTCACCAAGACTGCATTTGTTTGATCAATACAGTAAAAATAGTAATTGTGAAATAATCTTGCAACTTATCCATTTTACCGTAATATAATTTAAATTGTAATTTATTCCTCTGAAGGCAAAGCTGAGTTTTCAGCATCATTACTCCAGTTTTCAGTGTCACATGATCCTTCAGAAATCGATAGGTGTGTTCGACTTGATGCGGTGCAGCGCAGACCGCTCGGTGTACGACATCAAGGTGAGAGTGATCGAAAGCATACGGCTCCGTCTGCCCTCTAATCGCTCTCACGGTACTTTGATGTCGTACACCGATCGGTCTGCGCAGCGCCGCTCTAATATGCAAAAAAAAAAAGTATTAATCTGAAATAGATTTTTATCTAACAATGTAAAAGTCAGTCATTTTTGATCAATTTAATGCATCAAAAATAAATTGATTTCATTTAAAATAAAATATTATTTAGTGTACAGTAGTGCAGCAGTGTGTGCATACATTTTATTTTATTTTCAGTTCAGCTTGTAACCTTAAAATGGATTTGGAAACAACTTGATTTAGTATCTTTTATTTGTGCAGCTACAATAAGTGAATTTTTTTTTTTTTTTTTACATAGAAAAAACAGACAATGGTTTCCTAAGGATTGAACTCCTGGTGTGTTGCTAAACGACTACATTCTGGAAGCGTGCAAACATTTGTAAAAACAAATGAGAAGTGAATTCTAATTACATTTAGAATCGAGTCACTTTTTAAAATCCACAAATAATTGAATGGGGGAATCCAATATATGCTTATTAAATCGGTGAAATGATGTTCATTTGGGAGAGAACGTGCGGGGTGGCAAAAGCACATCTACTCTGTCCTGCCTTTCTATTCATGTACCGAGTAACACTGCAGGATCCCTAAATAACCATTCGTCTGTGAAAACAATACAGAACTAACAACTGAACAACGTAAGCGAGAACATTTCTGCTGGTAAACGATACTTAGACAAACTGTGAGTGTGGCATATGGGTGGGGTGGGTCTGGGTGATGTAGTTGACGGGGGAGTGAGAGGAAGAGGGGCAGTATGTGGCATGGTGGATGCGGGGATGCGGGCCAGCACCGTGAGTCCAGGGCGTGAGGTAGTGATATGTTGTGGAAAGCACGGGCACGTAGGGCTCATAGCTGGGGTGAAGGGGCTGCTGGCCGCACTGCTCCTGCATCAGGGGGTAGAACACCGTGCCGGGGACCACAGTGGGAGGGCTTTCCATAGCCAGAGAGGTGCCTGAGGAGAGGAGGGCATGGGTGTGAGATTACAGTGTAGAATAGAGTGGTCTGTTTGAAAAGCTCAAGGCAGAGAGTGTGGAGGTTTGTGGTGGTAACGATAGAGGGACACTGACCGTTGCTGGGCACGTCTCCTTGTGGATGGGGGCACGTGCGGACAGGATCAGGGTAGGTCTGGGGAACGGTGTGGTCAGCGGTAGGAACGGCGCTCGAGTACGGCTGGAACTGAGCGTCTGCGGCCGGCTGCTGATACACCTGCTGCATTTGCACCATAGAGTGCCAGTAACTCTGCTGATACCACTGGAAGAAATACAAAAACACTCGTAGGGTCAGCCATTCAAGGGTGTGTACAATGGTGAATGAATAATTACATAGAATGCAAAAACAGCTCTGAAGTAAACTATAGTAGGATAGCCTGCTGCAAGACCATAGCAAATGTACGTTTATTTCCACTTGGTCCAACAGCAGTAGAAAACCATACATTTTTGCATTTACTTTCCAAAAGAGGAAAAAACATACATGTATATAAAACAAATTCTGAAACTGAATTGATTCAAGCTAAAAGAAACGCAAGTTCACATGCATACAGTTGAGGGTGCAACATGAACAACTTTCAGCTTTGCTGCCTTTCCGGATATCAAAATAAATGAACGTAGGATAAAGTTCAACACTCTAATTTTAGCAATAAAAATGAAATAGACGTAACATTTAAGTAAAGTCATTTGTGATGACTTGTATGGTTATATTTGGTTAAATCATCAGAGGTCAGTTGCAAAGACACTGGCAGATTAAGTCAAAATAATGCAAACATACTTTATGGATTTTATTCTAAGTATCATACCAAATTTTATGCAAACCTGCAATACAATTTGTTTCCCTTTGTGCATTTTTATTTATTTTGAGGAATATTGAATCCATTTTGTGTGAGTGAGAAGAGAAAAGACACTGTTTCCGAAAACAGCATATGTCTGGTCTATATTTGAGCAGCATACACATACATTTTACTGAAACTGAACAAGTGTATGGGTTCATAAAACAATCAAATATGAAAATGAACTGTACACGTTATTGCATTAACTGCTAATCGCTATTATTTTAATCTTTGGCTATTTTTATTGAATTTTCTTATTAAAAAAGTCATTTAAATGATATGACAGCAGAACATTTTATAAATAAAATGTAAATGATTACTACAATACGTTTCAGCCAGGCTACCTTTAGGGTGGATGGTGAATGAGAACGGATTAGCGCAAACATTAATATGATTTTTGTAAATAATGCAGTGTTTTAACTCCTTGTCACAGACATTTTATACTTCAAGCCCGCTGTCATTGATACGGTCTTACAAACAACTCTGTCCCTAGTTGAATTGTGCAAAAATTATCCACGACTTGATCTTTAAAAGGTTATTTTTCATTTTGTCTTTCTTAAAATCACACAAGACGTTTTAAGAAAAATATAGAATTTAAGGATATTCAAAGTTCAAGCACATTTCAAATCTTGAAAAAATAAAATAAAAATCAAGCATTTTGCTACTTTTTAAACAGCAGTTAATGAGAACTTTGCTGCTGACTAAACCATCAAGCTTGCATGAAAATGTTTAAAGTTATTGTAACTGTGTACCAATGTAAAAGGATTAATTACTAACAGACAAATCGCAAGCTTTCTTTTCTCCGCCCCATGAAACGTCAGAGCAAGAAAGCCTTAATTTATTATGTCCGGTTCGTGCTTTGAGGGTTTATGTCCACTGCTCAGGCCAGTGGCATAAATACTCTCAGCTTTTAGTTTTGGTGGCCGCAAAAGAGGTAATGCAGTCACTAAAATTATACTGCATTGGATTTCAGATGCTATGAGGCCTGCGGAGTTGCTTCGTCTCTAGGAGTTAGGGCCCACTCCACTAGGAGGTGAAGCATCTTCAAGGGGTGCACCCTTACAAGACGTTTGTGCTGTGGCAGACTGGTCTTCTCCGCATACCTTCATCAGGTTTTATAGCTTAGACACGGTTTGAACCCAAGGGTCCCATGTCCTTCAGGGTTAGTCCAAGTCTAGTAGAGAACAAGAACTCAACAAGAGGCTGTACACAGCCATGTGGGCAGGCTCTTGCCTTAGGTGTGGCGACGTTGAAATTAAGTTCCCATAACGTCAACGTCATGACACAGCATCGAGTTCACCTTGAAAGGGAACGTCTCACGTATGGACTTGGTGATGCACTACGTTGTGTCGTGACTTCCATACTTTGGGCCAATCAGATTGGCGCGTTTCAGACACCAGCTCAGGCAGAGGTCTTCACAGAGTCAACGTCATGACGCAGCATCTCTTTCCCCTCTCAGGGAACCGGGTTAAATATGTAAAATGTTTTTCTTTTGTGTTCCAAAATTGTTTGAATTGTGAAATTGTTAAACCAGTTTGTTCTTCAATTTCATATGAAGTATATTGTGGCCTCAGATGACAAATTTTCGTTTTTTATGTGACCTTTACCCTTAAGGCTCATAAGAATTTACTATTTAATAGTTACTAAATGGTTGATTTTCATAGTTAGCCTTTTATCATGCTGCTTTTGTTTTATAAAAGCCTCAATATGCCACGTGTTTTTCATTTTAAGCATAACACACATAAACCTTGCCTCATTTACTAGTGTGGGACATTACATAAGCTATAGTTCTCTAGAGTTGACAATGTGGCGATAAAAAGAAGAAAAACCTCACCTGTACCCCCAAATTGTAGTAGTACTGAAGCACTTTGCAATCTAGGGAGAAAACAAAAAAAAGGTAAAAAAACATATGCAGGATATAATTCAACAAGGAGGTGGTTCCCTCTGACCTCTTGGAAGGTCACTGCCATTGGGGTCATACGAGTAGGGTGGAGGAGGTGCCAAGGCGACTGGCTCTCCCAGCTCATTCACAAACCATGGAACTGCTGGAAATACAGAGGAAGAGTGTCTTGATTCATCATCTTGGCTAACATTTCCTAACTTTATTCCTCTGTAATAAAATACAGAAACTTAAAGGTGTATACCAGGCCTGCCCAGAACATTCTGGGGTGGCGGCTGTCCCGGGATGCTGTTGGGCTGCAGGGGGTTTGGGGGGGTCTGGGAGCTCCCAGTGGATGAAGAGGAAGAGTTTGAAGTGAAGATTGCAGCCGGGGCAGAGTTGATTTGTTGAGAAGAGGAGAGGACAGATGACTTCACAACCACCTGAAAAGATTAAGCACATGTCCCACCCGAAGAGGATGAACACAACTGTGTAACAATTTTATGAAAATCATGAACAATGCATGCCTGTTGTGAGTAACTGTAGGTGGCGACACCCTCTTGTGGCGACCCGGCACGAGAACTTCCTTCTTGAATGGTCTGCAAGACACATTAAAACTCAATCTGATCCGCACATAATCTCCCATTAAAACTCGAATTTTAAGAATTATTAGACAGCACATTTTTTTTGCACAGAAACAAATCTAATGACAGTCCCATTTTCTATATTCTCAAATGAAGGGAAAAATACAGTTTGGTTTCGGAGAGATTGTGCAGAGCTGTCAGAGCACATCTACTCCATGTTGTCCCATTCATTGGAACTCATGTCAGCCACAGTATTAGCATTTTGGTGGACATCTTTGACAAATGAAGAATTCTAGAAGACTGTACCAGATTGGTGGTAGACTCTGCTGCAGCTGCATACACTGATGGATTCTGATATCCTGCCTCTGCAATACAGAAACATGATGTTTTAATATCAAAGCACACACGATATAATGACAAGAGCATAATGCTGAAATTTTCTAGCATCCAAGCCGTTAATGAACTAACCTGCAGCAGAGTAGATGTACTCCTCGGAGTAATCACCTAGTCCAGACAAACAGTTCAAATTAACCATCATTAATCATAACACAACATATGGGCTGTGTTAAAGCCTAGTGAGCTGCCAACCAAAACAGCACTTTTGGGCATCATAGACATAATTCCAAGGCAAAGGCTGTTTCAAACTGTAGCCAGTAAAAACTTTTGTTGGAATTTCATAAAAAGACGGTGTTACAAACTCACTCTGCCTCCCTACACACTTATTTTGAATGTACCCTAAGCTCCTAAGGAGACATGGTGATGAAAAAACAAAACAAAATGTGGGTAGTTGTCAGTGAGTTTTGAACGAGCCATGGGGTATTCAGAACCAAACCACATGCTTATGCAGCGACTCTACACTTGCTAGGTTTTGGCTGTACCTTGGTCACCAGCAGTATTCCTCTCATCAGGGTCCTCCTCTGATGATGTCATGGTCTGTTTGCCTGAAGGAGGGATTGGACTGGGAACTCTTGGCACCCAGTAAGCAGTGGCCCCTGAAACCATGGGGCTGGACACTGCTTGACCCTTCAGATACACACACGGACAGAATAGTGATCTTAGCATCAAGGCCCATTCACACCAAGGACAATAACTATAAAGTTTTAATGATTCTAATTCTACAAGAATAGTGAAATCCACACCACAACTATAACAATAAATGGTAGAAAAACTAAATCATTGGATTCCTTTTCTAGCTGATGAATGATAAAAGCATTAACAGCCAATCACTCAAATTAAAAAGCTCAAGCATTTAAAGGAGCAGAGTGCCCTTATGATAAACAGAATATTATGGTGCACTGGTATGGACGCTAATATGGTTATCGTTATAGGCGTGAATGGTTTTAAAATCCCAACTGTTACTAAAGTAGAACGGTGTCTCACCCGTATTGGGGAGAAGGCACTCTCATCAGTCTCCTCAATCTCATAGAAGGTGATACTGCCCTCCATGTCTTGGGCGTCCTCTCCTGGCTCAGGAACACAACTCAGACACTCTTTATTCAGAGAGTGCATCTGCCTTCGACTCCTTCTATACATACACAATTTGAACTCGTTTTGCTAGCAGTTGAATTAAAAATGTTTTCGGGGAAAAAAACAAAACAAAAACAAACCAGAAATATTGAAAATTATGCTATCGAGTTAACAGACAATTTTACAAAAACAACTAATTGAGTCGGTTCCGATACAGTTGAGCTGAAAAAAAAAACTGTCTGAAAGTTGCATTTGGTGGTTAGTTTGTGTATAAATGCAGGTTTTGCCCAATTTTTCCAACTTTTGACTTAATTTCTCAATTCTTAAAGAATTCAGTATTTTTGTAATTAAATATTTGGTTGGTTATCACTAATCCTCTTTCTGTTTTGTTGCAGACCATTATGCTGACTTAAAAGCAGTACAAAATCAGTTTGAGGGAGTACCTCTGAACCCAAATGCTGCCTGAGAAGTCATTGGTTTATTGGGTAGCGAGGCAACAAGTCAGGCAACAGCTGCCTAAGCTTTGAGAACCAGCATTCGATTATGCCAGGGGTGTCCAATCCTGCTCCTGGAGGGGCACTTTCCTGCAGAGCTAAACTCTGCTGGATTACGCAATCACTCATACTTCATTGCTTTTCCGAGAAATCACTTGATTTAAAAAGGAAAAAGCTGGAAGTAAATCATTTTGAAAATGTATTCATTGCTGTTTTCTATGCAACAAGCTATCAAATGTGGTTTTGGCAGGTTGTGAGGTAAACTTAAAGGTACAATTTGTATTTATTTTTTAAGGGAAAAGAGAAAAAAAAGTTGCCCCCAAATTCCTATTTCAACAGGAAATGCATGTAAATATCCTAATGTTCAGAACCCATTTTTTGGGGAAACTGAATAAACCAAAAAAATTAAATAAATATATTAATGCAGTTACACAATAGATTGATAGATTATATTGAAGATAAACTGTAGTTTGTCTCATTTATAGCATTTATATGTTAAAGTAAATGCTTTCCTACCGTGACCTGAAAGAGTAGTTATCAAAACTCTGGTAGCAGCGCTTGCTAGGACTGGGATAATAGGCCATGTCTGGTCCAATAAGATGGTGTCTGTTCAGGAATCGGCCAGAACTTCTGACAACAACAGATGTGTGGCAAAAGAACCACACAAAAATAGATTCATGCAATGAGTAAGGGTAGGACTTATGATACACATGTATGGTTAAAACAGGGGTGCCCAATCCTATTTTTGGAGATCTACCTTCCTGCAAAGTTCAGCTCCAATCCTGATCAAACAACTGAACCAGCTAATTAAGATTCTCAGAACAACTTGATTAGGGATGTCCCGATCCGATCAAGTGATTGGAAATCGGGCCCGATCACGTGGTTTCAGACTCGATCGGAATCGGACGTTACCTCCCGATCAGGATTCGGATATATATGTATATATATATATATATATTCTCAGTATTTTTTAACACATCAATAGTTATGCGGTGGCACAGGCCAGTGACACACTGGCTGCGTGGCGTGCGCGTCTCAGCTGCGTGGCGTGTCCGTTTTTATTTCTTATTTTTATTTTATATGTTAACAGGTTAGAGCTTGCGGAAAACGCCTGATCGGGACATCCCTAAACTTGATAATTACAGACAGGTGTGTCTGATCAGGGTTGGATCAGGTAGATCTCCAGGAACAGGACTTGGTTAGAAGATACAACAATAAACAAAGAACCTTAAAGAATAGTGTCTAACCTGGGTGGTCCGTACCCACGCGGTGGTCTAGGTGAAGGATGGGGTCGGTAGTGTTCATAGGCCAGGCCTGGTGGTGGTGGAGCGGGACCGTGCACCCCTGGAGAACGGACAGGATGAATGTTTCCTGGCCCAGGCTGCAGGCGGGGAGGTAAGCCAGGCTGAGGATGACTGAAAGATACTGCCATCAACATCTCCTTACCACGAGGCTTCTTGAAGAACCTTCGGCGTCCGCGCAGCTCGGGGTCTTTAAAGAGAAGAAAAAAAAAACCTTTCATAACCTGATTGTTGTCACTACACCAAATCATTATAAATTGAACAAAATCTCATAATTTTCAAATCACCAGATAACAAATTAATTAACAAAATATGCAACTACTATAAGTACATCCAACCTTACCCGGATACATACAGTATATTTGCGTTAATCAGTGTGTACTGTATAGCAACTGCTTAAATGTAAACTATATTATTGCCCAGGGATATATTTAAAGTTGTGTATATATAGTACATCCAACTTTATATGCGTACATACTGTACTCACGCGAACAATTACACACTATATAGCAAATCTCAGCTGTATGATTCTTTGTCAGCGCAAAAAACGTAAACTGTATTATTGCACAGCTCAATATATAAAGTTGTATTCGCATACTTGCAAAACACTCACAAAGAATGATATACTATATAGAAAATCTCAACTGTTTGAATTGTCGCAAAATGTATACTATTAACGCACAGCACTAATCTGCTACATGAGACTAAGTCATGAAGACATCAATATATTATAAACCAACACAATTTTCAGTAAAGCTGCTTTGAAAATGTATATTGTGAAAACTGCTATATAAATATAGTAGTCAACATTTGAACTGGATCAAAAAAGTTCGAAGTTGTCCTGAAACAAGAACGGTATTGTTCAAAATTCATGTATAACTTCGATGAAAGGTTTTGATCCACTTCAAATGTTGACGACTACTGTATATGTAACTTGGCATGATCTGTTAATGTGTCCTGATAACTCAGTAATAGACCTATACATACTACACAGTATATGTCAAGCCAATATTTGGCTATTTTGTCTGATATATAATATATAAATAAAATAAGTGTTATTTCAAAAAGTATATCATTACTTTATGCAGTTCATTAAGATTAACACTATCATTGCATATTCGCATAAATGTTTACATTTTTGGAAAGCTCTGTAAATGGACAATTTTATCCATATCTAATACGATCAAATACTCAAAATAAGAAATCAACTTAATGATAAAACTCAAGGAGTGTACAACTCAACACAAATGAAGTTGGAAAGAGGCAGACCTAGTTCTCCAGTGTACTGCTCTGGATGGTTGTAGGAGTTTCCCTTTCTGCTTGGTGTGATGTTCCAGGCTGGCACAGGGTTCACTGGCTTCAGATTACTCAAGGAAACCAGGTGCCTAGAGGAGTTAAAGAAGATATTTAGAGATTCTCAGGGACATTTGCCTGTGAGAAATCACAGGTGAACATAGCTTACTTTTCTGCAAGCTCCTCAATGAACACGGTCACTGCAGTGGTGTGACTCCCTACTTCTTGAATGAAAGCATTGTAGTACTTCCCTTTTGGATCCAAGCGGACCTGGGGGGTGGGGGGGGGAGAGAAAACATGAGTATGATGGGGGCTGTGGGGAAATGGGCTTTGTTTGATCAAATGAGGTGTGACAAAAGAAAAATGGTACTCCAATTTGCAATAATGTTAACACTTAAACCTGATTAAAGTTGTCCCACCTGACACTTATCTCCTAAAAAGTACTGTCTGCCAGCAAACACCATGTAATCAGTCTTCTGTAGCTCTATAACACAGGATTATCACAAAAGCACATCACAGTAAAACTGCACATATTTAAAAAAAAGAAAAAAAAAAGGGAAGATATACATGTTAGAGATAGCATCAATTAGCTTAGTCAAACCACCTGTTCTGCTCATAAATTATATGTTTAATTTGCATGTGGTCATATTCTCAATGATATTTGGGGTGAATCATAAAACATCAGCCTCTTTCAAACATAGTCTTTACTGGTATATTACCGGTAAGAGATCATGTGTTGCAGGACCTTTTCAAGAATACCAGTAAATTGGTTCCAGCAAATTACCAGTAAGGGAAGTTGTAATATTACCAGTAATGTGCTCTGTGTGAATGCGGAATGAAGATTACCGGTATGATCACGTACAAAGTCAAAACGTGCTGACGTAAAAAGTCTAGATACTATTATGCCCTTCTCGTGTTTTTAAGAGAAAAAACGCTTTAATCATCCCTTAAAGGTGGGATCAGTCGTTTTTGAAAAACACTTTTGGCCAATGTTGATATTTGAAATCACCAAAACAAACACACCCCTACCCCAAAATGATCTCGCCCCTAATTTGATAGCTCCACCCAGACAACGACTATGGCGGATTCTGCTGTACCTGCCGTCTGAGGGTAAGTGAAAGCAATGTGTTACTATGGTAATCCATGTCGAATGCATTTTAGTAGTAATGTGTGTTTTAACGCATCAATGGTTCAGCTCTGTTTCACGAGGAAATCGACGGTCAACACCCAAAGTTATCATTATCAACTCGATAGCACGACAGTCCTAATAACGAATATATTACAACTATAAAAAGATTAGGGGGTTATATCAATCACTAAATGAGGAACCAAAGGAAACAAACATTAGGAGTATATTATCTTACTTTTCAGACACACTTTGGGAGCCGACGCTTGAGGTTTAAACGCGCCATGCTTATAGGTGTCTTTTTCAAAGCTGAATCGAACGACAATATCGCAAATGAAAAAATTTTAAGTTCCGTTTTTTTTAATCTGCCATCTCTTTCTGTTGTCGTTTGGCTAATGTCTGCTGTGTGCACTGAGCGCTCTCTCCTCCCCATCATTACTAGACATGCCCCTTACTGCTGATTGGTTACAAGTGTGTTTTGGTAGTCGGCCTGACACAGTTTTCAAGTGTTTTTCAAAAACTACTGATCCCACCTTTAATGCCTTTCACTGAGACATAAAAATTCTCTCAAATTGAACAGTGAAACTGAAGCACTTTTCATGCGGGCGGATCAAGACAACGGCACAAGCGTTTAAAGATCACTTTCGATGACTGACATCACAGAATTGACCAGTATTTTGGAGCTAAATGGTGTCTTACCGGTAAAAAGCCGTACCACCAAGAAAAATAGCATGAGTTACATTCAGTAAAACAGTTACTATGATGTTTTTTTTTACATCAGCAGTGCTTTCTATTGAATGGTTTAACATGGGAATCAGTATTATTTTAGCGTAAGAGTCATTAATGCTCTTAAAATTTAACTGAAGTAAAGTAAACCGACCTTTGCGGCTGTCTTGCCACACGTCAAACTCTACGTTGCGGTACAGCTCTGGCTCCAAAGCCTTTAGTACCTTGTACGGCAGAACCAGTTTTCCTGAACCTTCTGTGGCCTGGAACAAAGAATGCATGTCAAAAACTGATGAAAGTTTAACATCTTAATCTTTTAAATTATGGTCTAAGCCACCTTCTGGTCCTCAGCTCCAGCCCTGGATTTGTCTTCTGAGCGGCAGTGACCACTCGACTCCCATTCTTCTCTGAAACAAGTCATGCAAAGTACATACACTGGCATTTTTCCAACAATAAAAATCCACTTGTTTTTTTTTTTTTACTTTGAATTGTTTGTCCAATTGCACAAGTAGTAAAAACTCATGTTGTTTAAAACTCCTATGGTTTTCTTGTGGGAATGTTAAAGAACGTTTACACTGCTCTTTTCTATAAAACTTTCGGCATAGTGACCAGCAGTGTTGGAGAAGCTACTTGCTACTAGCTGTAACTTATTAAGCAACTCTGTCAAGCTACTCTTTTTGAAGAAGTACACTACCATTCAAAGTTTTGGGGTTGGTGATATATAAAGGCTGGTTTTATTTGATCAATAATACAGTGAAAACAGTAAAAGTGTAAAACATGAACATTTAAAATAACTTTTCTATTTTAATATTTAAAAAGTAATTTATTTCTGTGATGACAAAGCAGAATTTTCAGGATTCTTTGCGGAATATAAAGCTCAAAAGAACAGCGTTCATTTAAAATAGATTTTTTTTGCAACAAAGTAAACAAGCTTTAAAGCAAGTTAAACGCCACTTTTATTTAGGAAATATGCATTAACAAATTGAAGTATTAATTTTCCTAAATTCTCAAAGTTATCAAAAAATAACTAATCCTAAAAAAAAACTAAAGCGTATAATCCTTTTTTGGATAAGCAGTAAATTAATTTCAAGTATTGTTTTTTTTTTTTTTACTTATTTTGGAAGGATCTCAGTTATCACATGGGTTAGAAATATAATTGCACAAGTTGTATTGACTAAATTAACAAAATATGTTTGTGTGTGTTTGTTTTGGTGGGGGTTTGAGCTTGTCATCCCCAGTCACTTTCATTTTATAGTAAAGAGCAGCTCAGACATTCTACTTAACATCTCCTTTTTGTGTTTCTGAACATCACACAGAATTGAAATTTTTGGGTGTACTATTTCTTTACAATCTATACTTGCAAGGCATGTGAGCGTTCAACATTTTCCCATAATGAAACCACTTTGCATTTGTGAGATAATCAAAAAGAAAAAGAGGTGCTGTTTTCAAAACCCCCCCCCCATACCCAACATCAGGCCACTTGAGGGAGTGAATGAAAATGAGTGAGCGAATTCAGACACTGAGTGCACCAGCTGCAGCTTTTGCATAGTTTGTACTTGCCATTTAATAATCATTTAAAACTTTAACTGGCAGCTCTAGCTCTAGTAGTAATGAAAAGATTTAGTCATGGAATCTATGCATAAACATTAATTATACAATTTAATAATGAATTAAAAAGGAATTTTTATCTGTAAGATATTACGCTGTAGCCACACTGGACCAGCGGTTTGAAAATGGATGGATGGATGATTCAGCTGCGGGACCATCGTCTGGCGAGACACAGGAATTCATTCAGCGTAACTCAGTGCATTAAGGTTATTCTATAGCTGTTGAGTGTACAACTGTTGTACACTTGTTATTGCGATGCATTATTGGATTAAATGAGTGCACTCGATAAAATCCACTATGGTTTCAGACACCACTACATATGCCTGTTCCCTCAAATAGTGCCCAAAATAGGGTATAGGGGGGGATTTTGAACACAGACAGAGAGAAAGATGAAGGAAGACAGGAGACAGCCTTAAAGTTTGCTACGAAAGAGTCAGGAAACAAGAGAAGACCTCTGAGGCCGGTCTTCTGGGGTGTCGTAGCCAGCGTCCTCACTGCACATGGACTGGCTGTTTCTGTATCGTCGTCCCCCTCCTTTGAATCCCTCCAGCGCCACCTGCAGCTCTTCTTCCTCAACTCCCAGAACACGAGAGTATAACAGTTCATACAACAAGGCTGAAAAAAATGAAAAATGCCACATACAACATTCCACTACTGTGGTAAAATTACAATCAAATCCAACAATCCAGAACAAAATGTTCACCATTTGTGATTGTTCATGATGTATCACACAAGGAATCTTGTCTTGATGAACTGCTAACTCACCCTGACATAGTGCAGCATCCACTGGATAGGTCTTGGGGTAAACAATGTCATAGTGGCCGTTGTTTGAGCAACACAGCAAAATCTGTGGGGTGGAATTCAAGATGATAAATGTGCTGGGAACCATAATAAATGATGCAGAAATGATGCAGTACTTAATCAACAAAGCAATGCTTAAGCAAAGCAGCAAAAAAAAAAAAAGAAAGAAAAAAAGTCATCTTATTTCTTCACATTACAAAGGAAGACCAACTGGTGGATGGAAGCAGAACAGAATCTGCATGAATGCTGCCAACCAAAATTTGATCTCAGCCTCAAACATCCCACCCAGTGATGCATATTCCCCTAGTTTTAAAGACAAGGCTTAAGCTAGACCCAGACTACAATGCATGTTTCAGCCGTTTTAACTGAAAGCAACTTGCACTGATACATCTTAAAAATAAGTCACTGCCATTGTTTTGTCTCAAGATGCACACCAGTAATGTTTTTTCTAACATTAAAAAAACTACTTAAATGTCCTAATTGAACTAAGGCCTAACACGGGCTTAAAGGGGTCATATAATGCCATTTTTGTACAAGCTAGTATGATTCTTTAGGGTCTAAATTAAAAGTTTGTAATATACTTTAATTAAAAATTCTCATTAGTATTGTAAGAAAACACTTATTTTACCTGGTCAAAAACAGCTCTGTTTTCAGCACGCCGTTTCAGTGCATATGACTTTAAATGATAATGAGCTTTGCTCACCCCGCCCCTCTGTTCTGTGCGTACACCGTTTGTAACACAATAACACAATAACCATAACGCGTTGTTCAATATAAACGTGGGATTATGAATTATATTGAGAACATCATACATAGAAAACATGCCGTAATGTACCCTAAGTGTAAACCTTAGACGCATTCATTGTGAAGCGTGCAGCTAGCGATTTGCAAAGATTAATATAAATATTAATATAAAGTTTAATAAAACGTTACTCACTTCAGTTGTTCTAGAGGTTCAGCCGGAACACGAATAGCTGGTACTGATCCTTTTTTCATGAGCAGCTTCTTAGCAAAACCAGCTCATACTGACCCTCGTTTATAAAGCAGTCGGGTGTGAAATGATTCGCGCAAACATGAGAGCATTGACGTTGCTCGTGGGGAATATTCCCTTCGAAAACAAACTCAACCACTGCGTCTTTAGCGGTTCGGATTTAGGAACATTAAAATGACTGCTGTGTTCATTATTACACCCAAGAACAGAACACCACAATCGCTTAGACGCCATTCTGCTCATAGACAGTGCTCCAGCATATCAACAATGACCGCGCCGGTCCGCGCAGACTATGATTGACAGCTCTCACGAGCGAGGGCGGGTCTGTGTTGAAACGTTGCTGTCAATCAACAATCGTGGGAGGGCCTTCCGAGCGTGTGACGTCACAAAATCGAACGACTCGATTTGAGACAGGAGAAAACATATAAGGAGATTAAAACAAAAACACTGGATGGATTTTTATCATTTTATGATGGTTGTGTACAGGCACTGCCAACACACATTTCAGTACAATCAACTTGTAAAAGTGCATGTACCATTATATGACCCCTTAAAGGCTGACTATACTTCTGTGTCGGACCTATGCCGGAGCCTCTACGCTGTAGGCAACGCGTTGGTTTTCATTTATACTTCCGCGTTAATGCGCAAATGCATGTGAAACCCGAGGGAGGGGTTCTACAGTAGCAGACCAATCACAGCGCTTGTGTCTGCGTAGAATTGACACGTTGTTAAATTTTTGGAGAGGTGCACGTCAGGGTACGCGTGCTACACACAGCCTACGACGTAGCTACGGCAGGAATTCAACGCAGAAGTTTAAATTGGGCTTTAGTCTAAGCCCTGTCTGTGAAACCAGGCCAAAATAACTAGTGCTGTTGGCTTAAAACAGAATCATCCGTCACTGGATGGTCACTATGTAACTTCTGGAGTCAGGGGTCCAGCTTCTCATCCGGGTACAATGAGAGCGTCAATGGAAAACTTGTAGCTTAGGTTCATGACATCAAATCTTTCATAAATGTTCAAATAGCAGTAAGAAAGAAAAATACCCACAAACTTAACACTGCATGCTGCTTTCCGTGACACAGTAACTACAGTTGGTTCATGGTCAAGTAGGTGGTTCATGGCCAGATAAGTGAAACTGAATTAGAACTAAACTCTAAATGTGAACAGAGAGTTAACACATTCCTCACCTTAGGCAAATTGTCTTCCTCTGCAATCTCAGTTGGCGGCTTACCTGGATACCTGTAAATGACAAAGCACCGCCTGTGCCGAAAACCACTCATATGAGAATTTGGGCCCAAAAATCACACATTTTAAATTAAATTACATTTGAATTGATTCAAACTGATATAATTCAGATGCATCACAAAACAAAGGAATAGTTTATCTCATTTTTACTTTAGGGCTATTTTATGTTTTTTCTTCCATGGAACACAAAAAGAGAATTTAAGAACATCCTCTTTTCAATATAAAGAGAGTGAATGAGGACTAGGACTGTAAAGCTCCAAAATACCCATCTCTTAAAAGCGGTCCACAGAACTTGAGCACTTTATTCAACATCTTCTAAAATCATATGGTAGCTTTGAGTGAGGTACAAACCAAAACACAAATCCTTATTCACTGAAAATAATAATTGTAGTGTAACTGACTTTAGGTAATGATGTACTTTTTGTAGTCCATTGATCTTTGGTGGATGGGAAGATTAACAGTTTTAACAATTTTTGGTCTGTTCACCACACAAAACTATCGCATGGCTTATAGACTACTTTAATGACCTAGGCTATTTGTCATTTTGGGGCATATCAAAGAGGACGGCCAGAATATCCTTCAGAAATGTACCTTTTATGCTCCACAGAAGAAAAATACTGGGTTTGAAATGACATGAAAGTGAGTAATGACACTTTTCCTTTTTGGGTGAACCATTTCTTAAAAAAAAAAAACTTAAAAAAAAACAACAGTTAATCAAAGAGAATATAGAAAGTAGTGTTTCACAAAAAAACCCTCTGGATTAAGAAAAAGTAGATGCAAAGCGTACCTGTACACTAAAGACAGTGCTTTTATTTCCACTTGTCCTGTGGTTTCCTGTGAAATTTGGGATATTACAAGACAGTACATTACAATCATATGTCAGTTATTTTTGTTTTTTGACACAGTAAACACCTGCCCAATCATTAAACTACAACAATAAAACACATAATATGCCATGTTAATATTTTTTGAAGATGGAAAGACCCTGAATGCAAACCGTGGGGTCTTCCAAGCGTTCCAAATACTTCTCAAAAGATCCTTGAACAAACTGAAACACATGGTAACCACAATAAGACAACATGTTATAAATGTTTAGTGTAATGACAGTTTGTAGGCCTACTAAGGTTTCATTGATGTAGTCTGAATTCACTCACAGGTTCAAAGTTACATCTGTTTGCCCTCATGAAGTTGGCACACTGTTTTCTTATTCTTTGATGGTAATTCTGGGAGTAGTAAAGCTTATGACAAAATAAAAACATCAGTTCAGCAGCATATTGTCACACAAAAAAACAACAACGGGCAAGTGAAGAGGTAAAATCATACACATGTCATTCAGCTACTCGTTTTAACAGCCATGCTACAGCATACACGGTTTTTAAGCATTAAAAGCATGTTTCACAACATTTGACTATGACACAAAAATGTACAGTTTGAGCTTATTTTAAGGTATATTTATGGAAATTACCTGCTCAGAAACAGCTCGAAACAGACAGGACGCGTCTCTCGCCATCATTTTTCGGTAGAGCCCGATGCTGGCCAGATACTCGTCCATGTTTACAAAATATTTCTTCAAGGGTTTCTGCATCTTCAAGAAATCATAAATAAAAAACAATACATATACAGAGCTTCACGGCTTTCCGACTAAAAACGAAAAAACAGTGAAGGTCGAAAGTTTCCTTTCGGCTTGAGAATGAAACAGGTGCTGCAAATGAAGCCTGATTGCAGCGCATCACTGTCGTTTGGCGCGACTTTAGATTTAAAAAACTTTGATGGTAGATTCAGGAGTGATGGTTTCGACAGCAGAAGCGCAGAGATTTTAGCTAACAGTTAAAATAGCATTGTGACACTGGGGATGTCTGCTAATACTCGCAAGGCCCCAAACTATTATAATTCATACAGTCTATTTAATTTCAGTGGAGTTTGGTGATACTCCCTCAGCATTCAACAGGTAGGTGCTCTACTCATCAGTTTCAATTAAAATACACTTCAATACAACACAACAAAAAATATGAATTAATGAAAATTACTTGAAAAATATAAGCTATTTTTATAATGTCTTAACAGACAAGGGGCTCCTTTTATGTAGCCAAATGTTACAAGGTTACAGTTTATGGCTAACGTTATCTATCTGCAATTATCATGGAAGCAATCTTACTCACAAAAATTACCTAAACCGACCACAATTCCCTCAGTTGCAACAAATTACCTAAACCGACCACAATGCCTATTTTATTCAAGTTTGGAAGCTTGTTTCCGCCACGGAATAAAAATAAATAAATAAACTGCGATCAATTTCCTCAGAATTCTGAGGGGAAAGTCAGAATTGCGAGTTTATATCTCTCAATCCCCCATATATAGGCATACACATATACAGTTTATAAAGATATAAACTTGCAATTGCGTGTTATAAAGTACGAATTGCAAGATAAAAAGTTCGAATTGCCTTTATTTAATTGTTCATCTAGGGCGGAAACAATTAAGCTTCCATATATTTGCGATTTACATGGACTAGTCTAGAGGATAAACATGGACTAGATCCATAATACTGTTACCGTTTTGACGATAAACCATGATAAAATCGTTTCATATATAGACCATATTTGATTAGCCTACCGCAATTTGAAAGACTCACGGTAAATACTGTGCAGCAAACTTAGCAACAGTCTCACACGTGCTAAGGGACATTGTGATCGTGTGAATTAATTATATGGATGTATTTTTTTTAATTGAACGACTGTCTTCAGAAACGTATTGATGCTTTTTTCTTTTCATCCTATCCTCCGTTTAATGTATAATGTAATAATAAACTATTGTACAGCCGTTACCAGGGAAACAGCTATTTCGCTTTTCCCTAAGCGCCATCTACTGTCTGTCAGAGTTCAGCCTGCAGCGGTAGGCGTTTCAGACCTTTAAAAAAAAAAAAAAAAAATTTACAGTCTATGGTTCAGACCATTGCGAGAATATTTTTTATGCACTATTGTAAATTGACCAGTTAATGAAAAACAAGCTAATGTGCATTATAAAATCTAAACAATTTGGATAAGATTTACGGACCAATTATACTATGGCTAACTCTAATTTATAAATTTGACACATTCCTTTTCTTTAAAATGGTTTAAGGCTGAAAAGTTCATTACAGTGTCATTCTATAAAACGTTTTTGTTATAACTTAGCTAGTGGGCCTGTATGTCACCAAACAACTTAAAAAAAAAAAAAAAGTAAAGTCCGGCCGTCATAGTTAGGATAATGTTATTATTTTATTGTTTATGAAAACCCAAAAATTCATAGTGCTGCTAATTTTATTTGTTGTTTGTTGGTTTTCGATATAAAACCAACAACAACAACAAAAACTCCGTTAAATGCTTTAGTGTGTGTATAATAGTATAGGCTCGATCCGGTTCCAGGCAGTTTTTATTTTTAAAAACAGTTTTTATTACAGTGATAATATTGACCGCGATTATTTTGGTCACTATAAACGTGATATTAAATTTTCATACCGTTTCATCTCTAACATGCGGACCTTGTGACCTAAACACCCTGTAAAAACTGGAAGTAGCCTAAAAACAGAAAATATCGTTCAAGGTAGGCTACCTTTTACTAACTGCAAGTTAACTAAGGCTATAACCTTTTACTAACTGCTAGTTAACTGTAAGTTAACTTGCCACGCTTTAATACATTCTATGGAGTTTAAAAAGACATATTGTAATTTTACTGTATAAATATTGTAAGAAAGGTATAGCCTATGTTTTGGAAAAATGTATTGGCCTATTTATAAGACTTACTGCGCCTTTGTGGTAAAATAGGGCTATATTATTTATTTAATCAATCGCTATTTGTAAAAGAATGAAATTAAACAGTTATTTAACGGTTACAGATTTGAAAATCAAAAAGGCGGGAATAAAGAACCTAAACGTTTTTTTTTTCAGGACGATATGGTTCTAAATAGAACCCCAACTACGTGTAAAGAACCTTTAAAGCCACTTCATTACTGTTTTTCTAGAGGTCAACACAGACTGTCATTCAACACACTCAACAGGTAAATGATGAAAATTAATTTCTTAAAATGTCTATTATACATTTTAATTTCAAACTGTATCAGGTTTCCTACCAATAATAGAACCTGTGATCAGCTCTGTTCAGTTTAGGATACTTCACTCCTCTTCTCCACTAAGTGACAGATATATTGAATTTATGATCCATAATCCATATTATTAGATTTTTTTTTTTAAATTATTATTATGCAAAAACATACCCAGTCACACACACACACAAAACATTAAAGCAGTCCCATTACTTTTTATGTCACTTTTTCCTTTTAACATTGTAAAGGGTTCACATACTGTCCGTTTTTGCTACTTTTGGCCTTCATAAACATAATTATTTTTACATAAACAAATGGAAGAGACACACTGTCCCACTACCTCATCTACCGAGAGAAACGTCCACACAATTACACCAAAATGATGGACTTCACCGACACCAGAGGATTGTGAAGATATTGCATTGGAATGTGGTCTTCATGACAACTTTTTTCTGTTTTGGTTTTTACTTCATGTATTTATTCATGTTCAATGTCAATTGTCCTTTATTAACGCATTCAGCTAATAACTTGTTGGCACTCTTTTGCTATTTTAACATAAAAAAATAAAAGTAACTGCTGACACAACATGCTGTTGCTGTTTTTTTTTATGTTATTATGAGAGGGGTAAAAATTATATTAATATATCATTTAAAGTATTAAAATAATATTTATAATACCAATATTATTAATATAACTATATTAATGAAAATAAACCGTTATTCAAAAGGTTATTTATAACACCATTAAGGTCCTATAGCACTTTCAAAGCATGGCTCTTAACTAATTTTGTGTTCGTGCTTATTGCTCTTTTACCAACATTTTACGCTCATTCGCACATCTTTTAAAAGACTATTACACTCACCTTTCATCTAAAACCAATCAATATAGGCTATGCCTAGGCTATAGCCTAAACACGATCTGTTTTAAATCTATTTTGACCACTCTTTCCAGCACAGCATCAGCATAACAGACACATTGACTAAAGTAACCAATAAGAGAAACTATCAAATGTGATTAAAGGTTCAGGAAAATAACTCTGCTATAAAAAATGGTTCTAGACAGTACTAAATTAGGGTTCTTCAGCTTTTAACCATAGCAGAACCCTTTTTGGTGCTAAATAGAACCCTTTAATATGGTTCTTTAAAAACAATATTCTGAAGTCTTTTTAAAGATTACATTTAGATATAGGCGTACATTTAGCCTACTACTTCTTTCTTTTTTCTTGTTCGAAATAAAAGTTGAAGTGTACAATAATTAGTCTTTATACAGATAAATAGCCAACACCCAATAAAATGTATTGAATTTCACACGTATAGGCTAAATGAACTGCACGTCGACTATTTTGACCATTTTAAAGTGCGGGTCTTCAGAGTATCCACACGGTGGCGCCAAAGCTCGCGATGAGAGACGAGATCACAGTCACGTAAAAAAACGTTATCAGTAGCATAGTTTTTGGTTAATATTACGTCTTTGTGTCGCATCTATCTGTAATATAATGCTTCTATACACGAAAAAACAAACAAACAGCGATAGGCTAAAAGGCAAGGCATTTGTTTAAGCATTTGTCTGATTCACTTGATGATTCGCGTTTACTGTCACACCGTCCTGCCTCAGTAGCTAGATTAATGTCTACGCAAAGAACATTAACATAAACTAAACCCATACAAATTAATTTCTTTTAACTCTTAAATTTTTTTTGCTACCTTTTAAAATAGCTGAAATGGACATGTAAACTAAATATAGCTGACCTATAGTTTAAATGTCTTTCTCTGTTGTAATAATAGTTTATACACAACAGCTCATAGACAAAAGTAAAGATTTTGACAGACATTTGACGAATTGTATTTTCTCAAGTAACCTAGCCTATAAGATAACACAGATAAAAAGAAATTCATCCAATATATTAATTAATTTCTCACCATTTATTTATGGCGTAAATGTTCAATAGCGTGACAAGTGTATACCTGGACTCCCTAGTCAGGTGATTTTCTTCTTTTTTTCTTTCTTTCTTTTTAATGGTGTAAATTATTTTGGGGTTATACTGTAATTATTATTAATAGTAATGTTCTTTGGCAGTATAATTTATTTTGATTCTCTGTGTATCTGTAGTCTTCTGTATTCTCTCTCTTCACTGAGAACATGGAGTGAGATGCTGTATATTTGCCTAAAAGGCCTTTGACACCAGAATCATTGTAGTATCATGGTGTCGTCCCTTCCCCCTTCAACTAATGGATGGTCAAACACTCTGGGACTCAATCCTTATAATGAAAATACTGCATTAATTTTATTTTGTGATGTGTCATTGTAATTCAAGAGATGTTTTTAATCTTCAGATTGCTCCAGCACAGGCCATTTCAAAAATATTTGGCAGTGGCCCATCTCGCCCCACACGAGCGTATGCTCCTTTTATTGAATGCCGTTTGTCAGAGGTGGACATTAAAAGCTCCCCTTTATTTGAATAAACTATTCAGATTTAAGGAAAAAAAAGCTGCACTGTAAAAATATGTAAATTGGTCCAGGGAAGAACGCTTGGCTCACACGTAGTCTTTCATATCTCAATGTTGTCCATTACAAAGTGCATCTCCTTTCCACTTTTTCATGTCATCTTGTCTTTATTGGCAGGTTGTGGACTGCTCTCTGATGATGAGATCGTGCCGGCCCATCCTGTGTTCACCAGCTGAGATCCAGAAGAGGATGTGATGGACCACAAAAGATAAGGTGATTCTTCAAGAGATCAGCATACAACAATGCCATTTTCAGTATTACTGCAAAGCTTTAAGCTTTGACGTCAAATAAATGCATCTGAGCTGAAACCACCATAGACATCGAGGACGACATGTGCCCCAACATTCATGATC